GAAAACCCAGCCCCCTTCCATACAGTTCTCCCCTAAACCCTTGCATCTCAGATGGTTTTCAAAGTCGGCCACCCAAAGCAGGCTGCTTAATCCCTCTCTGCCTACCCTTCTTCCCCTGTCAGTGTGAGAACCACCTTCAGGCAGCTGGACTTTTCACCTGGTGTGCAAATGTCCTGGGGTTCCAGAGTGGGTGGCTCTGTTTCTTTCCCAAGAAGTACCTATATCTGAGGGGTGTCTGGGTTGGTGCCCTCCGTGGCAGGGGGTCGTGTGAAGGCTCCCATCTCTCTTTCACATCAAAGCCCCCTGCCAAAGGGAGTCTAGAAGTCAGCTCCTGTCAGCAGACGGAACTGAGACAGATGGAACTGAGTGAGCCCCCTTGCAAACAGGACCGCACGTCATTTGCAAGGCCAGATGCAAGACGAAAATTTGGGGCCCCTTAACATCAATGAGGAATTTCAAGACTGTAGCGATGGCCACCAAACCAAGCTTGGGGCTGCTGAGTCCCACCCCATGGAGCCCACCCTGCTTGTCGGGGGCCCCAAGTCGATGGGGACAATAATTTGCTTAAGGTTCAGGGGGCCTTTTGGTTCCCCAAATGAGCGCTCTGCTCATGGCTAAAAACACATTTCTTCTTCCTCCTGGCCGGCAGGTCTGCCAAAGGACCACTGGGGTCACTGTGGTGGAGTTGGGGGGAGTTGGGTGGAGTTGGTCACTGTGGGGTTGGAGAAATAGTTTCTTTCCTCCTAGGTGCTCTTCTCTAGCACAACACCCTCCCCATCCCACCCGCATTATTTCTGATGCTTCTTCTACTTCAGTGGAACAAGAGGAATGGCTCACGTTCAATGTGAAAAGAGCCGTGAGATTTTGTTTTGGACTGGGAACCGCTCAGGAGCGCAGTGCACCCCTGGAACCCTGTGGAGGGTTCGCCCAGCGGCCTTATGTTAACTCAAGCTCTCCCCTCCTGGGGGCACCGTCTTCCAACTCTGACCCCCTCCCTCCGACCCCCTGGGGAGCGGTGCTCGGGGGCACGGAGCGTCGGTCTGGCCTTTCGCGGTGCAGATGCCCTGCCTCCCCTCCCCTCCCCTCCACCCTACGCGCCCCCCGCCGGGTGCTGTACCGGAGCACTCCCCCACCCCCCACCTCCGCATCCCCTCTGGCGCCAGCTTCCAGAAAGCTCCCGGTGAATTCCACGGCGTTCTTTGGGCGTGAGTCATGCAGGTTTGCAGCCAGCCCCAAAGGGGGTGTATACGAGGCTGAGCGCTATAAATACGCGCGCCTCGCGGTGCTCAGCACGCGTCGCCAGGAGCAGCGCACCGTCGCCGGGCGCCGCTGACCGGTGAGATGTCCCCACCTCCTCGCCTACCCGGGGCAGAGCCCCATCGGGACCCACGGGAGGGCGGGGGTGGCACCCACGCGAGGACGGGAAGATCGCTGGTACTCATAAGGCTGTCACAGCCGCGCTTTGGATGGAGTCGGGAAACCGGGGAAGGGAGGTGGTCCGAGCCTCATCACTAGGCCGCCGAGCCGGAGGCGGAATTTGCTGGGGGTGGCGCAATGGCCGGGACTCCGGAGCTCCGGCGCTCGCCAGCTCCAGCCACAATTGGATGGGCTAAATAGGACAGGTGTAATGACCCTCCTGCAAAGATGGGGAGACAAAGACTTGGAGAACTAATGCCTAAAGCCGGTGGCCCAGACTATTGAGTGGCGGAGCCGGGTGCCCGCAAAGGGCCTGCCTGCAGCATCTTCCTTGTACAGGTACTGATCTCCAGTGATGATTGTCAGCTAGCCAGCTTGAGGCATCCTGTTTGCTCCCGAGAATTCTCTAGTTGTCTCCATAGTGTGTTTATGTTTTGATTTTAAGTACATGTTGCAACCACTTAAATCCCACTCTTTCTGCTTCCCAACGCACCAGGATGCATCAGAGAAAAGTCAGGCATACTCCATCAGACCTCAGACGTCTGATCCAACTGTCTCATTTTATAGATGATAATCTGAGGCCTGGAGAGGTTTAGGACCGTCTCCCAAGATAAACAGCAAGTAGGTGTCAGAATCGGGATTAGAACTGAAGCCTTGATCTTCCAGAATTTCTGGACCTAAAAAAAAAGGAAAAAAGAAAAAAAAAAGCTGCTGCTGAGGATGATGATGATGATGATTTTAAAAGAGAGAGGTTAAGAATTTAAGAATAAGTACAGATACAATGAAAGGATACTGGCAGGAGTGTTCATTATAATAACAGTGTGAAACTACATACAATTTAAATGCCCCACCGTGTGAAATAAGAGTACACCAGAAAATGGACTGTTACACAGCCACAAAAGGGTGCTTTTAAAGACTCTTTGGAGGTAGTGGGTATAAGGGATCTAATTGTATACAAATCCATAGAAAATAAAAGGAAATATACCACAGTGCTAGTATTTGCCTCTGGATGGTGTAAATTTCAGGTGTATTATTTTTCTTTCTCCTTTAGTTTCTACATTTGGGGAGGAGGTTCGATAGGAGCTTGGGCCTCGGGCTTTAAAAACCGTGCAGCTTACTAGCTGTGTGACCACTTTGCTTAGGTGCCTGTGTCCTTCCCGTGGCTCCCTCTCCTAGGGTTAAAACTCCTTGGGGGAAAGAGCCTGCCTGGGGGCTGTGGGGAAAAGGAGGGCCTTGGCTGGGCTTGTCCAATCAGAGCAACCGGCAGCCAGGCCCCCAGGACAGTTGCAGGCAGTCTGAGGGCAAGCAGTTCCCTGTCCAGCCCCCGTTCCAGTGCCATCCTTGAACTAGCGGTATCAATCTCACATTCAGAATCAGCGTCAGCATGATAATGAGACCCCCTTCCCCCCCCCCTCCCCCGCCGCCGCCCAGCACCCCCATCCCACCTCAGGCTGATTCGTAGGTACTGTAAAGGAGCTGATCGTTGCATTAATAGCAAAGCCACACAAGGAGGGACCACGGGTGCGCGTTTCAGTCCCTCTGACCCTCTCCAAACATGCCACCTCCCCCCCACTTCCCCAATAGATATTGCTAAAGCCCACAATTGGTCCTGGGTCAGATTTCGACATCGTCAGAATTTACTATGATTATATAAGACCCCAGTATTTACAGAACACAGTCCCATCTCTGAGGTCCTTGTTGGGGACGTTTTACAGATGAGGACACTTAAGGCTCAGATTTAATTGACTTAGTGTCAAGGAAAGAACACTGGGCTGGAGGCTGGGAGGACTTGGGTTCTCATCCTGGGGTGGCCAGCCTGCTGCCGACCTTGGGGAGCCCCTATCTCGTCTCAGGGTCCTGCTCCCCCCCCCACCCCGTTGAGATGGAGCGATGAGGCAGGAGACTGATCTTTTTCTCAGCTCAGGGCTTGCTGGCCCCCCAGTGGACCCCAGGCTCCTGATGGGAGTCTCTGCACTGGCTGCTGGGTTTCTGGACTCCTCATTCAGTGCTCTTCTGGTCCAAACCTATTTTTGAGGCTCTTGTATGAATTTCTGAGAAGTATCCAGGGGCCTCTTCCCAAGAGGTGTTCTTGCTGGCTTTCTCTCTCTGGCCTAACAAAAGCTCTGTTTCTCTCTGAGGTGTTTCAGGCCTCAGTGAGCAGCTAGGGCAGAGCCCAGGAGCCCTGGGCCTTCTGGCAGGCCTGAAATAGCACCCCGACTCAGCCACCCACCCTGTCTTTGGGGAAGGCAATGACCCACTCTCTTCTCCCACGCTGCTCCTTTGCTCTGTGTGGCCAGTGGAGGAACCACAGCTTGGCTGTTTTACTAATTACTTTCTGGGAGAGGCTTCCTTTATTAATGTGCTACCAAGTGTCCATACGGGCCTGCTGAGCTGAAGGCAGTTTGTAGATGTTCACGATTTCAGGAAGGGGGGCAACCCCACCTCCCTGCTCTGTTATGGGAAATGAGTGAGTTCAGATAAGCAGTGGGAGGGGGAGGCCAGAAGACGGGCTGCTGGGGAGGGGGTTCTGTTTTAGGCAACAACTTCAGCTTCTGGGAAAGGGTCCATTGTGTAAGACTGGGCTGTCCTGGGCTCCGAGCAGTCAGCTGAGTGGTGGCAGGGGCACCTTGGCAGGGCACCCTACTGTGGGCTTAAAGGGAACAGCCCTGTGAAAGAGACCTGGCAGGGCCGAGGCACATGTCCATCCAGAGGGAACTTCTCCTGGGGAGGCAGGGGGCCCACCTTTAACCCCTTGACTTTGCCTCTCTCTCTCTCTCTCTCTCTCTCTCTCTCCCCTCTCTGAGCACAATTGCCCCACCCTCTGCTCTCCTGTATTTATACCCCAAATCTATGCTGCCTGGCTCACGTCCCATGCCAGGGATGGCAAATGGGATTTATTGTCCTTTGCCGACCCAAAGGGTTGGCTGTCACTGCCTCTGAGTCTTAAAAAGCAGTTTTAGGTGGTGTTAAGGCTCAGTGGAGAAAAAGGTGTGATTGACTGGTGATGCCTGTGGGCAGGATTAGTGGTGCACACAGCAGGGGGGCTGCTGAGCTCTGGGAGGCCATCCCCATGTTAGGGAGTTAGGGGTGGGGATGGAAAGGGCCGGGTGAGTCATCCCAGAGAGGTGTTTTGAGGGTTTATTTGATATGAGCAGGTATCATCAGATAGACGTCCTTTCTGGATGCAGAAAGCAGTGTCCAGTCTTAGTCAGCAATTCAGGGGGAGGAGGAGGAGGAGGATGGGGAGGAGGGGAAGGGCTGGACCTGAGCCCAGGGCTCTGACTCCAGAGTTCTCCTTTCTTCTGCCTTAGGCTGCTTCTCCTATGGCTCCTCCGTGTACCCACCGCCTCTGCTCTCTTTTGAAGGTGTCCGGGGGCAAGACTGATCTTTTCTCCCAATTTCCCCAGGGATAAAAACACAGCATTGCCAGCTCAGGGGCTGGCTGAGGGCAGGGCTCCAGGGAAGCTGCTGTAGGCTGCAGGCTGGGCCGGAAACCAGCAGGCTGTCTAGCTGTTACCATGACAGTCTCCTGTTCTCTACAAACAGAGGCCTGTTGGGATTCCAGAATTGGAGAGCCGGGCGCAATGAAGACTCTCCTACTGTTGGTGGGGCTGCTGCTGACCTGTGAGAATGGACGGGTTCTGGGAGACAAGGCGGTCTCAGACGCAGAGCTCCAGGGTAAGTGGAGCAGGGGTTCCCCTCGGCCACACTTCCTCACTGTCAGGGCCCCAAGTGGTAAAGACCGTTTTCTCCTGTGCATCAGGTCTGCTTGGCTCGGGCCGGCCTCTCCCGGGGCCTCGTCTCTCCAAGCTGCCTGGCCTAGGTTCTTTGTGGTCAGGTGACTCCTAGACGTTTTTCAGGTGTATCTTAAGTGCTCAGAAAGCACTGGATGCTGCTGTATTCCTTTTGGGCTGTTCCCTCACCAGTCCGCTTGTCTTGTGCTCCCACCTTGTCCACAAAGGTCTATGAAGCCTGGATCATTTGCGCCTTGTGAGTTTCCATTTCTGAGTGTCCATGGCGCCTGCTGTATGTATCTGATACCAGTCCACCTAGAAACTCAATGCTCCATATCCAGGAAGGGAGAAATGTCCTCCTTCAGAGCCCAGCCGGGGGTCCCCTCCTCCGCCAGGCCTTTCCTGAAACCTGTCCTCCCTCCTCCCCACCCTCGTCCTGCAAGCTGACTGCTTCTCTGCAGGCAGTAGTTGAAAACTCAGACTTTGAGATCCGACTTGGGTATGCGTCTGATACCTCTGTGACTCCCTAGCTGTATAACCTGGGGTAGGTATCTGACCTCACTGTGCTTCCTTTTCCTCATGTATGCAGTGGGCACGACACCAGCACAGAGAGTATTAAATAAAAGGCGCGTGAAGTGGCCGAACTCAGTGTCTGGCCCAGGATAACCGCCAGAAAAGCCTTAGCTGTTACTCCTTCTGCTCTTCGGGACACTGTCTCATTGCCTTTGTCACGCGGTATTGTGTCTTGATCGCAGTCTCCTCGCAGAACGGTGCCGTTCGTTCATCTTTGTGTCCCCCATCACCTGGAACCGTGGAATAAAGAAGTTCAGACGTGCGGCTAAGCCAAATTCCAGAAACACTTGTATCCAAGATAATATTTTACCTTTTGGTGCTTAAACAGTCACACTTCCGGGATTTTTTGTTTTCCTTGAAAGTTTTCTTCTGCAGCTGGGCAGGCTGGTTCTCTAGAGCCGCAGGGGCGTCGTGGTGTGGTGCTGCTTGCTGTCCCTCCTCTGGGGTGTGCCCGCTCCAGCGGGCTGTGTTCCTGAGCCGCTGGTGTAGTCACTACGTGGGCCCTGGGTCCACAGTAAGCCCTGGGATGGGAACCCGTGTCAGGGCAAAGCTGGGGCCTGAAGGCTGCCTGCCAGGGTGGGCACTGCCAGCCCCGGCAGCTCCTACACCCAGCTGGCCTTCCCGACCCTTCCAGCTGGTTCTAGGGTTACATGCCCCATCGCAGTCTCGTCTTCTCTCCTCCCTCTACCTCCCGACCCTTCTCTTGCAGAAATGTCCACCGAGGGGAGTAAGTACATTAACAAGGAAATTAAAAACGCCCTCAAGGGCGTGAAACAGATAAAGACTCTGATAGAACAGACAAACGAAGAACGCAAATCCCTGCTCAGCAACTTAGAAGAAGCCAAGAAGAAGAAAGAGGTGAGGACAGCCAGGTGACCGCACCCTCCCCCTTGGCTCGCCTCTGCTAGAGAGGAGGGGTGGCCAGGGCTCCTGTGGGGCCCTGCTGGGTTGCCAGGGTGACCCTCAGCCCTTCCAGGCTGGTGTCAGCTGATGCTGGGGCTGCAGTTAATAAATAGGGAGAGTTTCTTTGCTTTTGAAAGCTTCAAGGGGTGAGATCTTGGATCTGGGTTTTTTTTTTGTTTTTTTTTTTTTACCAGCCTGGCGCAGGGCCTGATGATGCCAGGATTCACTTCAATAGATTTTTCTAAACCCTGACTATGCAAGCCCCAAGGTAGGCTTTGGATAAGGTCTGTCCCAGGTCAGAAGGGGGATGGGGCCCTGCCGGCAGGAAGCTTACCTAGTAGCGACAATACCTTTGGGGTTAAGGCAGGCACACACCCGTATTGCCCCCCGGCTTCCTAGAGTTCTGACTATTTCATGAAGAGACACCTAAGTCCAATAGTGAAAATAGCGGGTCTAGACTGTGCTTAATGACTCAACAAAACTAAAACACCACAATACAATAAACAACTTATTTTAAAAATCAATGGTCTCCTTAAGTGTACCCTAAAAACCTACTCCCGTTGCCTTCCTCCCCCTAATGAACGAAATGCTAAGACGGGGTCACCTGCTACCTTCATGACCCATAATGCATAGTAAAGCATTTAAAAAAAAATTTTTTTTAATGTTTATTTATTTTTGAGAGAGAGACAGAGCATGAGTGGGGGAGGAGCAGAGAGAGAGGGAGACACAGAATCCAAAGCAGGCTCCAGGCTCTGAGCTGTCAGCACAGAGCCCGACGCAGGGCTCAAACCCACGAACTGTGAGATCATGACCTGAGTTGAAATCGGACGCTTAAGCGACTGAGCCACCCAGAGCCCCCATAGTAAAGCATTTTAAAGGCTCTGAGGGGTCACCTGGGTGGCACAGTCTGTTAAGCATCTGACTCGATTTTGGCTCAGGTCATGATCTCACAGTTGTGAGCCCACATCAGGCTTAAGAGTCTCTCTCTCTCTCCCTCTGCCCCTCTCCCCTGCTCATGCGCTCTCTCCCTAGAAAATTTTTTTTAAACTTTTAAAAGCTACAAAAAAAAAAAAAAAAGATACTAAAGAATAACTAAATACATAAAATAAAGGCTCTGAGAAGTTCTGCAGCGAAGAAGTTTGTGTAATTTCACTTAACCCTTTGTTTTCCAAATGGAATTGATCAGAGCATCCTTTTTTCTCCCCCTGATAGCTTTTAGCACAATTCCGTGGAAGCTGCTTCAGGAAATGCTGGCCTGGAGGCAGCTCTTTCTTTTGACACTTCGTGCCCTTCCTTGGCCTCAGTGGTTTTTTTCTCACCATTTTATGAGAATCTTCAGGTAGCTCATGTAGAGGTGGCAGGCAAGTCTTGTTCTGGAGTTTTTGTGGTCATGATCACAGTTGGATATTCTACCATCCAGATTCTGTGATAAAAGCACATCAAGTTCCAGAAAAGACTACATTACTTATTTTTATTTTTTATTTTATTTTTTTACATTTATCTGTTTTTGAGAGACAGAGACAGAGCGTGAGCAGGGGAGGGGTAGAGAGAGAGACACGCACACACAGAATCTGAAGCAGGCTCCAGGCTCTGAGGCGTCAGCACAGAGCCCGACGAGGGGCTCAAACCCACAAACTGTGAGATCATGACCTGAGCCGAAATTGGACGCTCAACCGACTGAGCCACCCAGGCGCCCCAAGACTACATTGCTTCTTAGTTCTTCAGTATGTGAATGGGAAAGAGAGGAAGTGGGCAGGGCAGTTGATGGTTGTGAATTGGCTTGGTAAGAGGTATGGTGGCCTTTCCAGCAGCAGCAGGGTACCAGGGGTGCAGGGGACCTGGAACAGAGGAGGGATCTCTTGGAAGTCCGTGTCTTCCTGGTCAGCTCTTCACAGTGTAGATTTGCTTTGCGGTGTGGATGGTCTACTTCATTCTTCTTGGAAGTGTTAATACATTCATTTGTTGAGACTTTAATATAGAAAAGTGGAAGAGGAAAAGTTTTCCATAACCCTCTTACCTGAGGACTGTTAACATGTGATTCGTTTTTTACTACATTTTCCCCTTTATATTCTTTTGACAGCCGCTATACTCAAAATCACGGTTTGTTAACATGGAAAAGTGCTTGTTACGCTATTTAAAACTTAACTACGAACACCCCTGCCAAACTACTTGTCCAGCCTCTGGGTGGACCACAATTTGCTTCACTGGCCTTCTAGTTTTAAGCATCCGGATTGATTCCAGTATTTTTTTTTTTCTGCCATAAATGAATACTGTAACAAATATCTTCATGCATAGGGATTTTCCCTTTATGGCAGGAATTCTTTGGGATGGATTCTTATAGAATTATTGGACCAAGTGACATGGATGTACGAGAGAGTTTTGGTAGTTGTTGTGACTTTAACTTTTAATTAAGAAAAAAATTTTTAGGGGCGCCTGGGTGGCGCAGTCGGTTAAGCGTCCGACTTCAGCCAGGTCATGATCTCGCGGTCCGTGAGTTCGAGCCCCGCGTCAGGCTCTGGGCTGATGGCTCAGAGCCTGGAGCCTGTTTCCGATTCTG